TATGATGGTTGGGCATCTAGCATTTCCTTCTAGTGGGTTTTCCTGTACTGTGGATGCTAGGAGGCTCAAAACTACATTTCTCATAGCTCAGTGGTTCCGGCGCCTGCCTCGCAAGCGCAAGGTCCCGAGTTCGATCTCCAGTAGCAAAAAAAAACCCACAAAAAACTACATTTCTCAAACAGCCCTTGCAGATAGGGGGCTGGATGCAAATGGCATTCTTCCAATTAAATGTGTTTGCATGAGATTTGGAGGGTACAAGTGAGCTCCAAGTGTGGGACTACTTATGTTGACACTGAGCTTGTGAGGCCTGGGCATGTGGAAGGGCGGTTACCTTGTAACCCTGTTTTTTCCTAAAAGGCTCAGGTGGTTTTGTTCCACAGTGAGATCTCCCCCACAAAGTTCTCCTTAACAAAATCAGGTGATTCCCATCAGTCTGAACATGGGGCTCAGTTGGGTCTGTCATGTATATCACGGTTTGGAGTGGTTTCGGGGTGGCAGTGGTGACAGCTGTGTCTGTCCCAGACTTCAGGAAGAAGCAGGGTTTTTTCCCTCACCATAGAAAAACCAGCAGGACTGCCACAGCCCACACTGAATAGCACTCAGAGAGCCCCAGCAGGGAGCTCCTAACAGACACTAAGGACTCTCCTTTCTGAAACCTCTTGTGATTCTCATAAGCCCAAACATCCCCAACCTTGTACCTGGCTAAAAAGGTGGCATCATCACTACTTTATGAGGAAGAAAAATGTCAAAAATAATAGTTGGCTCTGAATCCACTAGAAAGTTCATTTTTGAAGAAAAAGTTCAATCAGAAATGCTGAACCATAGTTAATTTCTCTTTATTATTTGCAGATGACCATACTTTTTTACAGAGCCTGTGATGCTAAGAATTCCACCTCCCTTCCTTTGTTCTATTTTAGAGAACCCTAAAGTCAGGAGAGAATTTGGGCATCACCAGTGATGGGTGTCACCATAAGCAAAGGAACAATTTCCTCAGATTCACTAGGACTCCAACAGACAAAAAAACCTAAAAGTAGAACTGCCTGAGGAAGTGGGGATGATCTATCTCTCCTGACATCTTCACAGCCCAGCTAACTCTTCCCTCCTAAGATGTTCCTCATGGGGGCTAGAGAGTGTTTATGCAGGGCCACCAGAAACAAGAGACCACAGTTCAGAAACATGTTTGGCGGATAAGAGAATTGAGGCCCAAAAAAGTATGATTTCCTCAGTCATACAATTTTTATATGGCAAATCTAATCTTCCTGTACTCAGTCAGGTTTAAGATTATCCTATCACATCACACTGCCTCCAGCCCCTCTTGTCCATGCTTCCTGGCTTCAAGCACCAGCTGAAGCCTCCCTTTCACAGTGTTAGCTGACCACCACACAAACTGATTGCTACCTACTTAGGTTCCATACTTTATGACTGCCTGAGCCTCTTACCAGGCACTCTCTCACTTTTTAAAAATCATTTTCACTCTTTTTCCTATTTTTTTCCTAAATTTAAATTCCCGTAGGTAGACTTCTGTCATCTACTGAATGTCTTAGAAACTACAGTTGGTACTTATAGACCATTCCCCATAAATATTGATTGAAGCTGTAAATAAGACTTTAATGTTCCCCAATATTCATTCTTCCATTATTCCTTTTATTAATAGAATTTCCATCCTTGAATTTTAGCTGAACATATGACTGCATTATATTTTCCAGCATCCTTTGCAGTTAGGTATGGCTACATGACTAAGTTTTAACCAGTGAGACGAGATTAGAAGTAAAGTGTGCAGGGCTGGGGATTTAGCTCAGTGGCACTGCACCTGCCTAGCAAGTGCAAGGTCCTGAGTTTGATCCCCAGTACCAGAAAAAATAAAAAAAGTAATGTATGCAACTTCCATGTCAATTCCTTAAAAGGAACTTTGCTCTTCCCTTATTCTTTTCCTTTGGATTTGGTTGAGGTGGTGAAAGAGCTTCAACATGTAGAAGAAAACTATGCTCTATGTGATGATAGAGCAATAAGATATAAGGACCCAGGGTGCCTGGATAACTTCATAGAGCAGAACCACCTGTACTGCCCAACTACCTCCAGGCTCTTATGTGAAAGAGAAATAAATGTTTATCTTTTGGTGTCACCTTGTTACAGCAGCTTACCTTGTGCCTTAACATTATGCAACTATGAAGTTAATCAAAAACTATGATGAATGTTTATTTTTTAATTTATTACAGTAAAAGATGCACTTCCATTAATCCTCCTCAAGATACTGCCCCTCACTCTGAGCACACTTATCCCATTGTTCTTGCCATTTTCTAAAGCAATTCTGGAAGTCCTCTTCATGAGTGTCTTTATTAATTGCACTGTTATGGCTGCCTCAATGTCCTAAATCAATTCACAACATTTCTCTTTCATGGTCATTTTTGACTTTGGGGAAGAACCACAGTTGCACTGTGCCAGATCCAGTGAATAAGATGGAGGAGAACAGAGTGTTGTGTTTTTATTTGACAGAATTTTAAGCAGCACAATCGTGCAACTCCATTGAAATACATTGTTCATTATCCATGATTTACAGCACAATTTAAAATCCATCTTCTCACCTGTAATCCCAGCACTTGGGAAGCTGAGGCAGGAGGATTTCAACAAGTTCAAGGCCAGCCTGAACTACATAGTGAGACCCTGTCTCAAAAAACCAAAAAATAGAAAATAAAATCCACTTCTCAACTGTAGCTCACAACCGACTGACTCTGCTAAAGAAGTTGAAACATCACATAGTGTTTCTAAGGTTCCAGGGGCCATATCTCATAATGAAGATTCCTGCCTTCCTGTTAGATGGTATATAGCGGCCCCATTCACCGTATTTATGATGACAGTGGATATAACAGCTGCCAATCTACTCCATGTTGACCTGTGAAAATCCAACTAGTTAGTACTTGCACTGCATCTAACAGAGTATTAATAAAGTTTCAAAATGAAGTATCACTGGACCTAAAAGAGAGAAGGCACTACATGTATATTTTACTCCTTCGATACAATGTACAGAACAGCTATCATATACGAGGGAAACAGAAGGATGTTAATGTTGTGCTGACATTGAGCCTGAACATGCCATCTCCTTCCTTCACCCCATCATCCTATGAAGTATCACCACTCGCATGTCACAGGTGAGGGAATTATCACACAGGAGGGTGACTTACCTGGAAAGAGCAGTGACCAGTGTCGGTGCACTGTGGAGGGGGTCACGGGAGGAGGCACACCAGGGAAGGCCTTGCCTGCCAGGGTAGAGCTGAAATGCTATCTTTAAGCATAAGGAATCGCAGATGTTTGAGCAGGAAAGTCATGCAAGCCAACATGAGTCCCAGAGTGAAGAATAGGTGAGGGAAAGGTGGAGAGCTCCAGCTACCGGAAAATCCTCGGGACAAGCAAGCTGACAAGAGCCTGGACAGAAAGCGATAGGCAGACACAGCAGATGCCAAAAAGGGAAGATCCCAGGGCCTTGCCTGGATGTGGGGATGTCAACCAGCACTCTGAAATCAGAGCACCCAGTGAGCAGCCTGTTTGTGGAGTCTCTACAAAATTGGCTGCAATTATCTTTATTCTGTTTTTACTTTCAGTTAAGAAATGACTGAGGGGAGGGGAGGGTGTGTGTGTCTCCCATGTATTGTAATTAAGATAAAACAACAATTAGAGTCCTGGAGCCTGTGTGCTCCAGCAGCAGCACCACAGAGCCAGTTGAGGCCTCCCTCATTTCAAGTCACCCTCCCACCAGCACACAAAAAAGAGATACCAGCACTGTGCACCTCTCTCCACTTGTCAGCAATGCAGCATGGCTGGATTCTGGATTATAGTGTGCTATAGGGGAAATGGCTGAGCTCCCTAGCAAACAACTGTGGCAACAGCAAGAGCTCTAAGGAAAACCCCCAGAGCAGATTTCCTGGGAGAGAGGAAGCAAAGGGCGGGCAATGGAAAGCCCTGTGAACCCTCCTCTACCGTCTCACCCCAACACATGGAAGTTCCTCTTTCAGGACTGTTCTAGCCTCTTTTTCCTTTCAACCACCGACCACTCAATTCTTGGAGGGAAAATTAGCATTCATTATGCAATTTATCTCTCTCCTTTTAATCCAGAGTGTCTGTCTCCAAGGTCCCTACTCAATAATTAATGTTTGTTCTCATTTTCCATTCTCCAGAGCATCTATTCTTGAACTGTGGGGTCAACAATTAACACTAATTATGGCTTTTTCTGCCTCCGCTGTTGGCTCTCAGAATCCCAGGGTGCCTGCACAGCCTCTGGTAGGCGTGTATGTGTATGCATGTGTATGTGTATACACACATGCACTGCCACCTTGAAGTAGGCTTTTCCCAGCCCCATGCAGCTCAGCAAATCAATACAACCCAGTCTTCCTTGGCAAATTCTCTAGTATATTTATTATCAGTAATGGGACAGTGAGACAAAAAGAAAGAACGGAAAGTGTTTGGACAGGTAATTAGCCTAGAAGATCTAAATCTTTTCCAGTTTGAATTTTCCTGCGGCAACACTTAGGCCCCACAGGGTACATCTGCTCTTCACCTCTGGGAATCTCTTCCCAGCACATGTCAAACTGTTTCATGCTTTTGCTCCTTTCTGAAAGTTCACCTTTCACGTTTTTGAGATCATGGGCCCTGCAGGGCTTCGCCTTAAGCGTCTTAGATAAAAACAATACTTTTCTTAATGGTTTTTTAAGTCTTCTCTCCATGATGCAACTACAGATTCTCAAAATCGTCCAATTTATTGTGAATCCCTTTTCTTAATTTTCATTTTTATCGCTACACGTTTGCACTACATAATGATAACACTCATTGCAGGGAGTTGGTACCTGTACATAGCGCATCTTTTTCTGTCCCCTTTTTCTCCCTTCACTCCCGCTTCTAATTTTAAGCATTGAAGAATCCACTTTGTATTTTCCCCAGTCTAGGGAGAAGGAAATGGATTCTTTTTTAATTTTTCATACTCTTAGGTAAAATTCCTTTTTGTCTTTCAGTCTATGAGTCTGTCCGTTCAAGTATCACCTATGGAGAAGAAGGGTCTGGTATTCAGCATCTCCTAAAAGGTAAGCTTTTCTCTAAACAGTTACCTTTACTTCTCTTTTGTATCATTTAACTCATGGACATGTTTCATGCCTGGACCTCCAGGAATACACATGTACCAAAGGAAGTGGGGAATGGGTGTACTTTAGGGAAAGCCTGAGAAATGCAGAGTCCTCATGAGTTACTCCGAGGCAGCCCCATGTGTTCTGAGTATAAATATTACGGAAGAAGAGAAGTCAGCTTGGACCAAATACTCACACTTAGCTAGCCAAGGAAGGATAATCTGCATAGTTGACCTGTGGTTCCAGACTCTGCACTACATAGTTCCCATGAGAATGAAGTGGGTACTGCCCCCTAGAGTTGTCCACAGCCTCAGCATGCAGAGTCACAAACTAGAAAATTATCTAGAAAAGACCTTCTGGCTCTTATTTCAAGTGAAGGACTGAAGTCGGTTCTGCCCCTTCCAAGATTCCTTTTAGGTTTCATTTTCCCTATGGAGATATACATACGGCAAAACTGTAGCTCATCTTTCACCTGCAGACTTGGCTGCTCCTGCTTGAGACTAGGGAGAAAGGGTGATTAGGGAGAGGCTTTCTCTCTCGCTCTCGCTCTCTCTCTCTCTCTCTCTCTCTCTCTCTCTCTCTCTCTCTCTCTCCTAAAAACGGTCTTTGATTAACAGGGAAATGTGTGTGGTCCTCCTTGCTGTTTGGGAGAGGCAGCTGTGAATCCTACATGCGGGACCTGCCCTAGTAACAGGAAGCAACAGAGAGAGGGCTGGAGCCAGCACTGGGTGGAGGGAATTGCTTTTGCCAGAGATTGCAAAAGTAGAAGAAAGGGCACAATCATATCCTTGGCAGTCTCAAAATTTGTAAGCAGAGAAATGCCTGCAAGTCTGGCCTTCTGCATTACTCTCTTGCCATCTTCCTTGGGCACACATCCTGTCCTCAGCAGGAAGAGTTTCAGGGTCAGTTTGCTCATTTTCACATATCAGTTTGAATTAAGACAGGGTAGGTTTGGGTTTTTTGTTTTTTGTTTTGGTTTTTGGTTTGTTTGTTTTGTGGTGCTGGGGATCAAATCACAGAGCAGAAGATGATGATGATGATGATGATGATAATGATGATGATGATGATGGTGATGATGGTGGTGGTGGTGATGGTGGTGGTAATGATGGTGGTAGTGATAGTGATGGTGGTAGTGATAGTGATGGTGGTGGTGGTAGTGATTATGGTGATGATGGTGGTGCTGGTGATAAGGGTGGTGATAACCACTGTTGAATATCTCTGGTATGCCAAACACTGCTGAATGTTTTACATGCATTAGTTTGCTTCATCCTCACAGCAATGATATAATTATCTTCACCTCTCATACAGGATGGCATGACTCAGAAAGGTTAAGTGACTTGCCCAACATCACACAAAGTGGCAAAGCTAGAATCTGAACCTGCATTTTTCTGCTGTGTGTGGTTACTAGTGGCGTCAACATAAACAGCCACATTTCTATCAGACAATATGTGACTGAATAATGACCCCTCCCAAGAAGTGGCATCTGTTGAACATTCATTTCTCCCTCCAATTCCCCTTACTCAGCATCAGATACTCACTTGCGGGTAGTACTGAAAAAGATTTGTAACTTTCAGCAGTATTATGGGGAGAAGAGGAAAAACTGAAACTCTTGTTTGAGACAAATTTTCAAGCAAGATAGGCCTGCTTTACAGTGCAGCTCTCTAAACCAAAAATGTTCTTCTTAATACAGCCCAAAATGTTACATTCTCACTTCATTCTACTATTAAAATCTCACCCACAAAAGATTCATTTTGGATTAGGAGGTTAAAATACTGATACTTCCGAGAAACTCCTGTAGTCTATTATACTTTAGTAAAATTAATCAGTTAGCTTTCCTCTTGCAACCTAGCTGGTTAGAACAGCTGCTCTCTGAAGGAGGAAAGTTCTGATGGGGTGGAAACACAGGTGAGTAATTTGGAAATAAGTAGAGTTTTAAGGTTGAAATATGCCTGACTGGTGGAGAGCCCCAGCGGACTTTGAGGAACAGAAGAGTGTTACTATCGGAGAAGCGGGTACAAGAAGGAGGAAAGTACAGAAATGGAAATGGTGGGCACCAGAGATAAACTTCTATCACAGCACCACTCCACAGCAAGCTCTACATCCAGGAAGGAAAAGGAAATTTTATTTTTTATTATCTTCCCTCTCTATTCCTAATAGCTAAAAGGTTTTAGAATAGCACACATCTCTTTATTTCCAGGTGTTTATTTGTTTGTTTGTTTGTTCCAGTAGTAAGGGTTGAACCCAGAGACTTTGCACTGAGCTACACTTCCAACCCCATTGTTGTTTGCTTGTTTGTTCGTTTGTTTGTTTTTGGGGACTTAATCTCACTGAGCTCCCCAGACTGGACTTGAACTTGTGATCCTCCTCCCTCAGCCTCCCATTGAAGCTTTTAAATATATCATTCCCTCTGCCTAGAGCACAATCCTTATCGCCTCCTATCCAATGTCTTTTTTTTAATTATGGTAAAATATATCTAACATAAAACTTACCATCTGAAACTTTTTTTTTTTTTTGGTACCGGTGATTGCACTTGGGACCTTGCGCTTGCGAGGCAGGCGCCAGAACCACTGAGCTAAATCCCCAGCCCCTGAAGCATTTTTAAGTGTATAGTCAGGAGTTCAGTACACCCACAGTGCCGTGTACCCAGGCTGGAGAACTCTTTTCATCTTGCAAAACTGAAACGCTGTTCCCCCTGAACAATTCCCCATTCTCCTCTCCTCTAGTTCCTGCCACCCACCATTCTGTGCTCATTTCTCAATCTTTACCCCTTTTCCTGGTTAACTTCTATTAGTTGGCAGCCCCAGTCCCAGTTTAGCTCTAGGGTGACTCCCCCTCCAGGCCAGCGTCTGCTCTCCTGTCCCCTCCCTCACCCACTTCCTCCTCCTCCAATTGTGTGCCACGCCCCTCCTCATACTACACCTAGCGCTACCTCTTAATGACATCTCTCTCACGCTATGAGATTCCGAGCTTCTTTGTATGTATTTCAAGACAGTCTCACTATGTCACCCAAGCTGTCCTCGAACTTGTAATAATCCTGCCTCGGCCTCTGGAGGTCCTGGGATTACAGATGTGCACCATCACACCCAGCTTAGACTTCGAGCTTTCTAAGGGCAGGGACACGCTGGCATCCCAATAGCTGGCACCATGCTGCTAACACACACTGCCCACTATTGGCATGCATTTGCTGCCTGAAAGCCTTCAGCTCCTATGGGAGCTAAGCAGGCTTTTTTTCAGGTTGACTTGAGAGCCCATTCACCATGCAGAACATGGTCTCTTCTGGAAAATGCACCCTAAGGACTGCTCATACACGAGCACAGATGGCCTCTTGCAGGGCCCAGAGTATAAGAACCTTATTTGTTCCTTTGATTTGCTCGACAACCTTAACAAAACAATCCTTACATCTCTCTGTGTGGAACATTCCTCATTTGTTTTTAAGGAAATGGATATAGCAGTGATATGAAAATGCCTGATACTCCCTGGAATTGAGTTCAAAGAGCAATTCAAAACATCTATTCCTTGGAGTCACCTCTAGAGCTGTCACCATTTCTTGGGTTTTTTTCTGGTCATTTTGTTTTAATGAATATTTTTAGAGAAAAGTGGTAGGCTTCCAAAAATATTAAATAGATGATGGACTTTGTGGGTATTTGTAAGCTGGAAGGTGAGTTTCAGCTACTTGCAAATGACTTACAAATTCAGGGACACACGTAATTGGTCATTTTACAGAGGCATGAGGTCAATGTCATAAACTTAAAAGGCAAGGAGACAGAGGACCATCACTAAAGTAGGGAGAGCTGAGCCAGCCTCCCAGCACCCACAGCTCAGTGCCATGTTCTGTGTTCATGGCAACACCTGTAATAGCTTTTGTGCAGCTATATTCTATAAAGAACTGTGGCTTATATAATATATGTACATATATATACATGTACATACGCATACCCATACACTACACATGCACTTATACACATACACATACCCACATACATGTACATGCACACATATACATGCATGTGTATCCACATACATGTACACGCATACACCTATACATGCACGTGCGTGTATGCATACAAATATACATATGCATACACATACACATATTTTTTAATTGCCCTAAAAATAAGGCAGTTGCTGGGACTGGTGATGAAAGTATGAGAAAGTGAAGTGGTCAAACAATTTGATGAGGCGCTGCTGAAAAAAACCCAGCGTTTTGTTTGTTTTGATTATCTTTTTGAGACGGGGTCTTGCTATGTAGTCCAGGCTGGCCATGGAACTCTTACATAGCCCAGGCTACACTGGAACTCATGATCCTCCTGCCTCAGCCCCAAGTGCCAGGATTATAGGCACGTGCCTCCATCCCCGGCTTCAAAAAGAACAGTTTTATAAATCACTGTAAGACTTTATTTATATTCACTAATAACTGTCTGAAGAATGCTCCCTCATTTCTCAGCACTACATCAGTTTTACTGGGGACACAGTATACACTAGGGGAATTCACAACATAAGGGTTCCTAAAATTCTCAAGATGTGTCCTCCCAGGCCCGGGGATTTGGCTCAGTGGTTCCGGTGCTGGCTTCACAAGCGCAAGGTCCCGAGTTCGATCCCCTGCACGAAAAAGGAAAAAAAAACAAGATGTGTCCTCCTGAGAGCCATGGTCCGCTGTTCACTCGATGGGTGATATTCATGAAAGCCAAGGGCTTTGCAGTGTATTTGGCACCATACATTTTAAGTCTGGGGTGGATTTTAAAATTGTGTGAGAAAGAAAGACAGAGAGAGTTATATTTGTAAACCTGCAATACAATTTAAAATATTAACTTTTCTTCTATAGGAGTGGTCAAAACATTTACAACTTTCATTAACTCATAATCTAGAAATACTGTTTTCTGTGTCCTTGCCCTTCAAGTATTTTATTATCTTCTCATCCAAAACAGCCATAAAGTAGCATGAGGTTCTTAAGCACTTTTTTTCCTTGCTAGTTTCTGTCACTCATGCTTCTTTCACATATTCCCTTGTGGCCTAAGAATTTTTCTGTTGTTTATTTCCCCACAATTCCACATTTGAAAATTAATGTAGCCATCAGCATCAGAATGTGTTCAACAGAAAGAATCAGTCTCTGTTACAAAACACAAAGCAGTTGCCTATTTGTTCATTCATTCATTCACTAAACATTATTTCACCACCTACTAGCAATAAAAAAATTTCTTTGATGTCGGGGATTTAGCTCAGTGGTTTCCCCACCTGCCTTGCCAGCGCAAGAACCTGAGTTTGATCCCTGGTACAAAAAAAAAAAAAATTTCTTTGAGACAGGATCATACTATATAGTTCAAGTTGGCTTTGTACTCACTATGTAGCCCAGGGTGGCCTCAAACTCAAGGTGATCCTCCTGCCTCAGCCTCCTGAGTGCTGGGTTATGGCCATGCACCATCACACCCAGCTTACTAGCAACAAACATTATGTTAGCCACAAGAATACAGTTTAGAGACAGAGTCAATGCCTTGCAGTCCACAGTGTAGAATAGTTGAGGGCTATGAAGGAATACCTCCTAATTCGGCCTAGAGGTTGGAAAGGCTTTGGGACACACAACAACACTTGAGCAGTTTCTGAGGGTATGTGTAGAAACTGGCCAGGTGAAGATGAGATGCCTGAAGAAAGGGACCCCATGAAGGTTAGAGGATGGGGCTGGAGGGGGGAAATGTAAATGACCAATAAGAAGCACCCCAAGTCACATGCTGGACAAGTGTCAGGAATGCAGGGGAAGTAGGCAGGAACCAGACTGTGAAGGGCCATGGGCAACAGCTAAGGAATTTACCCCAAGGGCTGCAGGGGTATGCTTACCTAGGAACTGACGTAACCAGGTTCTACTTTAGAGGAACAACTCTCCTTCCTACGTAGAGAATGGATTGGCCTAGGTACAGGTAGAGGCCAGGAGGCCACGTCCATGGTATTTATGAACCAGGGACCAAGAGCAGTATTTTCTAGAAAATTGACTCCACCATCTGAATTGAATTGGCTGCTTGCTTTGTACGTAGTAGATCCACCTTCAGCTCAATTTTTAATTCCTTCCTCCCATGCTCTTCCGCCACAAGTCTCCTTATGAATCCTGTGCTGTGTGCTACAGAAAGCATTCTTATGTATCTGATGCTTTGTTGCTACACAATTCAAATTTAAATTCCGTCATCCAGCTTGGCTTCCATCTGGGGCTTGGTAAACTGCCATGTGCCCTTGGACTTCTTCATAAAAAACAATTTACGAGCTTTTGCAAGAACGTAGCATTCCCAAAACTAAAGCCAGACCCTTGAGACCTAGCTAGTCTTGGTCTAAAAAGATATAAGTAACTAAAAGGGCTGTTGTTTCAGATTGGAAGGAAAATACTGCCTTCACCTTTGCTGGGCCCTTCCATATTTAAATTCAGATTAAAGACTCGGAGTTTCCAGATCTGTGTACCTGGCTCCTCAGTGGAAGCCCCCAGGGGCACGTTTTACCCTGGAGATCTCTTCCGGTCTCCAATGACTGTCTGCTACTCCTGTTTCACCAGCCTCCTAATCCAGGAAGACTTGAAGGGAAAACGTGTAACATAAATAGTCTTAAATCTTGTCCCAAGAATTTGATAACGACAATACCAAAAGGCCATCTTAGGTCTCAGTCTCCTGCATTAAATAAGCAGATTAAAATTTACTATAACACGGCCAACACTCTATAGGTCATAGGCGGCCTGAGTCACATCATATAAAATAAAGTATTTTTAGATTTTCTTAAGGAGAGGTCAGCAAGACCAGAATTATCCTTCCTTTTATAGTTAGGTTTATACGCGGAAATTTTTTTTAATAATCTGGAATTTATATTCGCATTTTCCATTTATGACCAAAAAACATAAAACCATGAATGTACCAAGACTCGCATTTGGGCCTGGGGCCAGCAAGTCCATGAGCAAAGCTGTGGGCCAGCAGAAGTGCTTTCTGAGCTCTGTTTGCAGTGAACACATCACCTCTCGGATGCTAAGTCACAACATGTTACGGAGGTCCCAGAAAGCACCAAGGGTCCCTGAGAAATGGTATACAGGGTAGGCCCTAAACAAATGTGAAGAGGCTCCTGCCGGCACCTCAAACAGCCACTGTGCTGTAGACATGGGACCCTTGGCCACTTCAGAGCCGGCGGGGCCAAAGTCTTCATCAAGTCCTGTCACACATTGAGGGAGGAGCTGGGTGGCCCTGCTGGCCTGATATGGTGACTTCACTTTGGAGTGAGGTTTCTAGTTTGCTATTAGATGGAACCGACCAGAGCATGCCATACCTAGAGAAATAACCACTCTGCAACAATGGGAATAAATCTGACTATATTCCATTTTCCTTTAAAACAACTTGGAAAGTAAACACTGTCAACACAGATTGAAATAGAAGGAAAGTTGAAGATGCCATAGTCCATGCTAGCATCAGATGCTCTTTCCTGCTTTTCAAGTTTTGAGTGTTTGGTGAAGGATCCCAGGATGTGAACAAGACAGGAGAGGTTTGGGATGAGACCCCCTCTGGCAGGGTCACCTTTGAGGTGGCCTAGTTATCTGGTGGCAGTGCTATCTCCCTACTAAAAGCCTGCAGTGAGATTAAATGCTGGTGTTTGAAAATCTGCTAGGCCTGATGGTGGGCAGCCAAGGCAAGAATGTATTTCTGTTTATCTCTTCAGTGGCAGAAAGACTGTGAGGTCCCAGCTTCAGGCATGCCTAGAAGTGCCACAATTATATTCTGTGACTGTCACATCAGCTCCCAAGCAAGGAGGAGGGCCCAATCCTGTGTTCACATCCAGGTCCCATTGTCAATGGGTCAGTGTCTTTGACTTGGTAGCAAGGATAGCTCTTACCTTATTGCTCCGAGAAGGAGCTTTACTGCCCTCATTGCTTTATGTCCCAGGAATGCTGTTGGAGTTGTGTCTCCCCCTTGACAGCTTGCACCTCAGTAAATTACCAAGGTCTTGACCTAAAAGATGAGAAGTCCTAAACAATTTTTCAGTCTCCGATCTGAAAATATGTTTACATTTCTTGAACTCTGGCTGACTGATTCATTCCCCCTGGTGTTGCAAGAACTTCCCTCATGCATTAGAATTTATAAGCTTCATTCCTGAGACCGGGGTTCTTTCCAAACCACAGTGAAGTGGACCTCATCACAGCACAGATCTGCAGGGCCGGATCTGACCAAAGGGTGGCTCACAGCAGGCAGTTGTGATGGGACAGGTTCAGTGAGGTTAACAGGAAGCAGCATGACGCAGAGGGAAAGCACAGACATTAAGATGAACATCTGCTCCTGGCTCCTGCTCTTGTGCTATCTCAAGGCACATGCTTGAGCCAACTGCGTAAAACCACTGTCTGGGCCTCAGTTTCCCCTAAGTTAAATTTAGAAAGAAATATCCTAAGTCTACGCAGAAGCCATCTTCAAACAAGACAGAAGAGAACAGCTGAGAAACCACAGAAAAGGGAAGGTCAGCCCACAAAGGATGAGTATAGGCTTCGGGTCAGAAAGACGAAGACTTGGAGTCACAGATGGCTGTTGGCTCTTTTTTAAAAGAACATTTATGAGTACCAAGAATAGGAAGAATTTTTTGTTGGACAAAAGTCCCATGGAAGAGACTAAAATCCTTGTGCTTAGCCAAATGTATTCCTCAAACATTCCTTTATAAGTATTACAGTTACTTTCTCTGGGAGGAGAAAAAGAAACCTGTTAGCACTGTGGAGTTTTAGGGTATGGGCACTCTGGGTCAAACTCTTCCTCCAGATCTCAGTAATTGTACAACCAGGGTTGAGTGACTTTTCCAGTCTCGGCTCCTACACTTGTGGAGCAACACCAGCCATGAGTGTGTCAGGGACTGTGCTCCACACCAGGCTCACACCGCGTGGCACCTGCTCTGCGCAGGCTCCTCCTGCAGCCCCACCCTTGTCTCCTGCAGGTGGTGCCTTTCCTGTTAGGAGAGAGGGAAGTCTCTGATCTCCACCTGGAAGCTTCCAGAAGCATTTTGCTATTCAGCAGAGTATGATCATACAAAATTTATATTCAACAGCATCAGCAGATTTTTTTTCCATCAATATTTCCTTTTTAATTTCAGTTTTACCTGAATTTTAATAGCACAGAGAATTTACCTTTGTTCTTTTAAAGAGCAACTGAAACAAGAAAAATCTAAATTTGGACCGGGGGTTTAGCTCAGTGGTGCCATGCCTGCCTCACAAGCACAAGGTCCTGAGTTTGATCCCTGGTACAAAAAAAAAAAAAAAAAGAAAAATCCAAATTTGAATGTAAGGTCTTCACATTATGTGTAACATGGTGTTTAATCTGTGCTTGTAGACTTTATGGGTGTCATCTGGGGAGTAAGTATGAATGCTGTGGGTATAAATGTGTTTATAATCTTACACACATCTGAACTAGGAGGGGAGTATATGGCATATATAAAAACTCATCAGACTTAGTTCTGACAACCTTTATGCTTTTTCTTTCTGATTCTTACCATAGCTAACACTGAATCCGGGACCGATCTTCACATGAATCTCTATGAAAGCTCACCTTTGACGCAAACAACAGGGAAGCAGGTATAGTACTGACTCTGGGCGTCAAATCTTGGGTTGTTTTCTGGGCTTGCTGTGTGACCATAGGTGGATCTCTCCATCTCTCTAAGCCTCAGTGGTCTAACCTGTAAGATGAGGTAGGTAGACCGGCACCTCACAGACAGAATGTCTCAACTCAGTCCAACAGTGTTGGCTGGCTCCTCCCTGACTTCTGCAAAGTCAGACAGGAAGAAGAAAACACCAAACAGTGTCACTCACTGAAAAGGAAGGCACACATGTTCATTCCTAATGGGAACAAAAAATTAAGGAAAAAAATGTCCCAATAGTCAGGAAGACAAGAGAGGCTTCCTCTGGGTGGCTAGGAATATCTATTACTGGTTAAAGACATACATGCAGGACTATTTACAAGTTTGTTCCCTCCGTGGATACTCTGAGGCAGAGGCCAGCTTCAGATTCTCAGCTGAGAGCCCACGCAGGAGGATTCCCAGGGCTGAACCGGGGACTCAGAACCCGAGCTGGGGACAGCACACGAGGCTGCAGGGGACCCGTGGGCTCTTCCTGCTGTGTAATGGCCTCTGGGCCACAATCTTTGGGCCAAGATTTCCCTTATCTCCAGCATCCACCCGTGCCCTGGCTTTCTAGGCCACATCTCTCTCTGCCACCACTCTTTAGAAATAACAATAAAAGTGGGTTTGCTTTCGTTGGTGCACCTGCACTGGGCTCTGAGATAGGAACTGAATGAACCCTCACTGTGAGAACCCCAAGCCTGGGTTCAGGCCTCCCCTGAAGCCAAAGAGCTGGCCGCCCCACCCTCTTGCTACTGAGGGATCACAGAACCGCATTGACATTTCTTTGAGTGCCTACTGTTTTCTGCAGTTTTTGTTTTTGTTTTGAACTCACTATATAGTTCAGGTTGGCCACAAACTACACTATGTAGCCCAGGCTCGCCTCGAACTCACAGAGATCCTCTTGCCTCAGCCTCCCCAGTGCTGGGATTATTGGCATGCACACCTTTCCTGGTTGTTAATGTCTGCTTTGAAAATGCCCATTATAATAAGGGATCTGGAACCTTTTCTTAAATTAGATAATCTATGACTAAGGAACCTATAATATGCTATATTTTGGTAATTCCCCAACTCAAGGCCTTGCAAATGCCTCTCACAACCTGAACACTTCAGATTCCCAAAGCCCACCTCAGGGATTCATACTGCTACACCACAGGAGACCAGAGTGACTCTGTCATGTCAAATTAAGTGTCCTAGAGTGAATATGAACTTAGCAGTTGGAGAGACCTGGGGTCTTAACTCTGATCCTGGGTTCCCCTGCAGGCTGTGGCAAGTCGTTCTACTTGGGGGCCCTTTGTAAAATAAGGGGGTGGCTCCTGCCAGAGCAATGGGTCTGTTAAAGTCAGGTGCCCTCCATTCCTTTGAAGGAAAGAGAAGCCATCCCAGGAAAGGTCTGGGAGGCCCCGCGGCCCCAAACTCCAGGAAGACAGGCTGGGGGGGGGGGTCCTTGCCCCCCTGCTTGAGCCAGTGCCTTCTATTAGATTAATCACTGGCTTCACTTTAACTACTTCCTCAGTCTCCTCCATGCAAATGACTAATTTCATGTTTACTATAAAGCATCTGGAAAGGATTTAGGAACAAATTTCAGCCCCGCAGACTCCAGTTACCTACCTTGATGGGCCACTGGCAGAGCTGCGGTCTTTCTCCTCTGGAGCAACGAGTATGTTGTACAGAACTGACCCTAATCAGCAGCAGCAGGGCCGCCCCTTTCTTTCCAATAATGCCCCATTGACTCCTGTCCCTCCTGCCCCTCCCCTGGGGTGGCTCAGGGACACAGGATACTTCTACTGTTCTAATCACAATGCTATGGGGGGAGTCCCCAAAAGTGGAGTATTTTGGTATCACCACCCTACAGAAGTCACAGAACTAGGCTGGGGGTTGATTCCTGCCCTGCAGGCAGAGGGAACCGGACAGCAGTCACTGGCCAGTCAGGGAGGCCCGGCCCTGCTGGCTGCCTCAGAGCGCCCCCTACCGGTGGGCTTGGAAATCTGCGCTGGGCGCCCGGCCGCAGGGAGGGTGCGGGTCCGGCGGTGAAGGGTGAGGGCGCAGGAGGCGGCGCGGCCCCCACTGGGGCCCAGGCCGTAGCCTGGTGCGGAGGCCACGTAGCAGCCCTAGCAACCTCCTAGGGCCTGGAAGAGGGGTTACTTCGGAGGAAAGGGGGTTAGAAAACTGCAAAGAGAAATGTGGAGATGAAAAGAGCAACGAAAAAAGGTGAGCCAAGAAGACGTGTCTCAACTCCAAGCTCCCATTTCCGCTTTCAAATGCACGGCCTCCCCACTGTGAGCAGAATCAAGTATTTATGAAGGCATTTTTTGCATATTAATAGCTGCATATGGAGGAAGCTTTGCCAGTTCTGAAGTCCTAAAGGGACTGCGCCCTTTCTTTAATGCAGGTCCGCCCAGCTGCTCGCAGTTTGGTCCTGTCCTCCAGACTCTTCCCTTCCCGCCCGGGGCGCTCCGCCGGCCCTCGTTTCATTACGAGAGATTAGTTCCCGGGACCCCTCAGAGTCCGGCACTGTTTGTCCTTCTGGGGTCGCTGACATCAATCGCCAGGGAGATTTCTTCTTCCCCAGGGCCTCTGTGGAGAGGCTGCGGGTTGGGCAGGATGACCAGTACCTAAAGGGAATATTAAAATTGTAAATTAAACCTCCGGAGGGAAATACTAACATGATCTATGCAGTGACAGGAGAAGAGTAAAATAATTTCATTAACTTTACATTACTGTCTCTACTCAGTAAAATTACATTTAATTTTAAAAGAACGTTGAGAGTCAGAAAAATAAGCAAAAAATATAAACAATTCATATTTCTAAAAATAATAATAGGAAATTTGGAAAAATATTCATCCTGGAGTGCAATCTAAGTGCATACTGAGACAAACTGCAGGTACCATTTCATATTTGAGATTTGTGCCTCCTTGCACATTTTGTAATGTTAACAACCAGTGCTGCCGAGGCTTCGGTAACCCTGGACACTTAAGGGGGGATTGAAATTTGCAATTCTTTTGTAAAACAAAAGGGCAGCAAGACTGATGAAATGTGAAGAAGTATTCATACCCATTGATTCAGTATTTCTGACTTTTAGAAATTTATCGAAAGGAAATAATTCAGCAGAAAAAAAAAATGTGAGTGAAGGTGTCCACAGTACATTATCTACAAGACAGAAAAACTGGAAATAGCCTAGGCATTTAAATCAGAGAAATTGTGACATAATTATGACATAGCAGGCTAATTCAGGCATTAAAAAATGATAATTGTTCATACTAGAAATTGTGAGTTAACACTCATGGTTCAGCACAGGTCTTAAACTCACTGATGTTTTGAGCTGGACATTGGAACTGGAGTGACATTTTGTTTTGGAGACTGTCCTCTGTGTACTCATAGGAGCTGAGCAGCATAGCATGAGTGACAAGTCATGCCAGGAGCACCCCTCCCTCTGGTGACAACTAAAATGTTTCCAGACCTTGCTAAATGCCCCCTGGGGAGCAAAATCATCCCCAACTGAAAACCACTAATTTGACATTTTGAAAGTGCAAATCAAAAAGATATATCGATTATGATTGCAACTGTTTATTTTGTTTTTAAGTATCCATAAGGAAAAGACTTAAAAATAATGCATGAAAAAATGCAGTCAGGCTAACTTGGAATTAAGGATGTGCTGGCCTAAAGTTTTTTGTTTGCTTGTTTTTAATTTTATTTTGTTTCCCCAGGGTTTTTTTCATTGTTTTGCCATTTTTCACCCTGTCAGTTCTCCCTGTGAAAAAGAGAGATGTATCATAAAAAGAGCTGATTTTATCAAATGTTTGAAATGTAGTTTAAAATGATCGAGGAGTCATAGTGTATAAGTATACAGCAAGCTAAGCAGGAATCATAGCACCCTCATTTTTTTAACTAACTACTTTTAGTTTAAGACATTTAGCACTAATTGGGTTTTCATTAGGCTACTATTGAACAGGGCCATCAGAATCTACCCTTCAAGAGTCTCAATCTCTTTTCAGCATTTTATCCCTCTGACTCCAACACTCTGAGAGACAATGAATTTGCCTCTTATTCTGAAAAGTTAGGGTCTCAATGGGAAGGGGAAGAAGAGAGAGGGGAGGCAAGGAAAGGAAAGGAATTTTTTTAAAAAATAAGACTCAAAGAAAAAATGGAAATAGAGTTCTTGCAAATGGGAAGGGGAATAAGAGTTGGAGGAAACAGGGAGGGATGGGACAGGAAAGGGACAAAAAAAATTAGAAAACAATAAAGCATTAAGACATGTTATGTACATGTACAGACTCTCTACCATAAATGCAATGATTACAGACTGCAAACATGGACTAAGAACAAAAAATTTTGAAGTTAGTGTCTCAAGTATGAAACTCTTGTCTACCCAGGTCCATCTGTGCAAGCTTGGGACAAGAGAAGCTCTGAGCCTCTCTCTGATTAATAGAGCTGTCAGCGGCAGAGAGGTTGTCATTAAACAGTCTCAAAGAACAAGCTCGGCCCTTAATTAGATTCCCCACCACCACCCCGAGAATGGGGCATCTCTGTTTAAAATAAGAAAGCAACATCTCTCCCCAGCCTTCACCTCCTTGATTTCCCCTCTTTGTTCTGCCGACCTCCAGCCTGGAGAGGCAAACAGCCTCCTCTCCCATGCTTTATCTTGGGTTGAGTTTGATTGCTTTGTGAGGATTTGAACTTTCAGTGTCCTTAAATCCTGTTACTCTAGAATCATGTTCCTTTTTCCCATTTCACGTAGCTCTGCTATTTCCATCTGTGCTATCTCTTGAGTTTAGTTTTCATGAGTTTACCACAGCATAAATTCATATTTGATCTTATGTGTCCTAAGTTTACCCTTTTGGGATTTCAAAGAGCACACTGGGATCTGGGTTGAAAAGGCCTCAGTGCACTCCCTCTGTTTCCTTGGGGCTTTCATGGATGGTGTTTATCTCTCCTGTCAGCCTTTCTCCTGTAGGACAATAAAACCACATTAGCATCTGTAGACATACTATGTTTTGTGCAAGGGCATAAAAGTCACTTTTCTTTCAGTGTCCTTTCTTTTTTTGTTTTTTATTTTTTGAGACAGGTCTCATTATGTCATTCTGGCTGGTCTTGAACTCACTGTGTAGCCCAGGCTTGCCTTGAACTCAATGGCAATCTTCCTGGCTCAGCCTCCTGAGTACTGAGATTACAGGTGTGCACCACTACACCTGGGTTCTGTGTCCTTCTAAACTGTGTGATTGCCTGTTGTCTGGTTCTCTTTTTTGGCAAATGTCATCTAAAAAAACAAGCTACTGGGCTTTAAAGATGGACTTTTCTTTCTTTATCCTTCCTAAATCATTGTATGTCCCTTGTATCTGGCACAGTTCCTGGCACAAGGAAGCCACATTTTTTTAAAAAAATGGGGGCTGGGGATATAGCTTAGCAGTGTACCACCTGCCTGGCAAGTGCAAGGCCCTGAGTTCGATTCCCTGTAACAAAATTAAATTAAATTAAATTTTTTAAAATGACAAACAGGCCAGGCATGGTGGCACATACCTGTAATCCCAGCACTCAGGAGACTGAGGCAGGAGGATAGCTTCAAGTTCAAGGCCAGCCTGGGCTACATAGCAAGACCCTGTCTCTAAAAACAAAAAATTAAATTTTAAAATGACAAACAGGATTCTCATTGGCATGAAAGATTTCATGTCATAGGAAGCTCAAAATCCATAGAAATCCACAGAAAAATTCTGTCATCTGCAAAAGAGAATTGACAGTTGCTCTTGTTTTATTGTCAATGATGATGACAGGAAGTTCAGCTGGCATTTCTGGCAACTCTGTCTCCATCTGAGTGCCTCCTCGCTGTTCATTGCCTTCCATACCTGACTCTCTGCTCTCTGAAGAGCTGGGCCAAGTGCAGACTTGGAGAGTCACTGGGCTCTCTCCTGAGCCCTAGGACTGAGCCAGCCCCCATGCCTCCAGTGAACTTCCTGCTTTTCCCAAGGAGAGAAGTGCTGGGCCTCTAGCCCTGCTTTCCTTCTCATTTCTAATGTCAGTTCTCTCTTTTCCAGGACACAGCAGATCCCTTACTTCTGCTTTGCTCTCTCTCTCACTCCTCCCCCCACCCTGGTTTTATTAATAGCTTTAGTTGTGGAATTGATTCAAAGGCTTTTTGAAGATTTAACAGAACTTCATCTTCTGGTCCAACCTTGCACACAGGATTACTTTATCTGCCCAAAACTCCCTAGAGATTGATAATTTTCTTTTCTTTTCTTTTCTTTGATAATTTTCTTAAAGGTTTGTTTTTAACTACAAAATTAAGGCTTTTATTTGTTGAATTTTTACAACTATCATTTATTCTAATGAGTCTATTTATTGATCTGTTGACTGCTAGTAACACATGCCTGCCTAGTGAAACTCCCTTTTTCTTTTTTCTTTATATTATGAACAATTTGAAAGATACGTAAAAGTAAAGAGAATGGTAGAATGAATCAGCATGTGCCTATCCACAAGGCTCAACAATTCTCTTCCTGTTGTCTTGAGAGGGTCTTTGGGAATGGTCCTAACAGCCAATGGTTTTGAGGTTTAATCTGTGCAGGGTTTAGAATTATCTCACTTAATCTCCACAACAACCTTGTGTTGTGGGCAGTTACACATGAGGACAGGCCAGTCTGGGAAGCAGAGCATCAAAGTGACTGGTTTAAAATAAACTTTTACAATGGAATCACTATGCAAGTTGAGACTCCCGTGTGTGTTGGTTGTTAGATTGGAAGAGTCACACCCCGACCCAACAAAACAAGGAAGTCATATAGTCTGGAGCAGAAGTTTGGGGTTAGAAGAAACTGAATTGTTCCAGTTTCCCACCCTTAATTTAGCCCCTCTGTCTCCAATCTAAAGCTACGCCCTCCCCCAGCACAGGTGCAGTTCCAGCCTGAGTGAGTCCAGCTAGCCGCCCCCTCTTAGAAAACTGCTTTCTGCCTCCCCAGGGGCAGAACAGCTCACTCTTTTGGCTCAAAAGTTTTCTCTTCCAGCTCCTGTTAAACCAAATAAACAATGGTTCTGTTGTGTCAACAAAGCACTTAATTAAATTGAGGAGGATATCAATTAGAATTCACTGGTAAGATTTGCTTCCAGATAATAGAAGCTCTGGAATTAAAATGTCATTTAGTTACTCAGAATCTCCTTGAGGAGAATGGTGAAATGAGCCCCATTTTCTGGGTAGAGAAACTGAGGCTTGAAAAGCTTAGTGACTTGGCAAAAGTCACCAAATGAGTCCCTCAGAAAAGGTGAGGAGGGCCGGAGACTGAGTGGTGGGAGTGGTGCTGCACCTGCCTGGCAAGCACAAGGTCCTGAGTTTGATTCTCTGTACAAAAAAAAAGGCTAGGAATTGAGATTGTTGTTTCTCTTCCTATGCTGGCACTTGCTTGTTTTGGGGCTAATTTGCTAGACATTCAGGAGGATATAAAAATCTCTTTTCCTAGAGCTGAGGTGTAAAAAAACCAAAGGGAACCTGTTCCTGACAGGAGGGGAACAAGAAAGCTCTTCCCTAGCTGAAAATTACACTGTATTCCCACCACACCAAGCCTTCCTGAAACTGTCCGCTCAGCCCCTTTTGCCACCACCAAATTATCTTTAGAACATAAAAAGGGCTGGGAGTTCGAGTGGCCAAGATGAGCAGGATGGATCCAGGTGATGGGCATGCAAACTGCTGGGCATGCCGTGGCTTGAGGTCCCTCTGCTCCCGGGAGAGAGGCAGTGCAGGCAGGGTGGGTGGTTGATCCTGAGAGTCCTGTCCGGTCCCCTGTGCAGTGGAGGGCTCCTTCTCCTCCAGGCCAGCCACAACTAGATTGAGAGAGGCCCAAAGTGGACCCTGAGGTGGTGGGGTGGTCCCTTGGCCACAGCTGGGGCCCCTCTCAGATCACCCCTGCAGGCAGCCCAGTCACAGGGAGCCAGTGGAATTCCATGCACCACCCAGCCCCACCCATGTCCCCATTTCTGCTGTGTCTTTGGGTCCACAGACTATGGGAAAAAATAACAGGGTCTGAGAAGGCCAAATGCAGGGAGACTAGCCAGGCCCTTCAGAAGGGAGCTCCTGGCAGGCAGGGCCCGTTCCAGGATTTGGTCTGGGGTGGTTGTGATGAGGGGCAGGGAGGAGTTCAGAATTCCAGCCCTCCTTCTCCCCACCCTAGTAATGAAATCTCTCAGATCTTTCCTTCCTCACCAGGACTCAGGATCCCCCCAAAACGGAAGACTCCAGGGCAGGGAGAGGGGCATAGTGGTCAGAAGGAAAGACCGGACTGTAACTCTTTTGTTTGCTCACAGGAGGGGATAAATGCCCTGTGTGCACAGAGGTTTGATGTGACAACTTGCTAAACCTCGGAAGGGTTTCAGCAGAGATCTCCCCACCAGCTCCCTATGCACTAGGGTAATAGTGGGGTGTGTTCCCGTTTCAGATCTGGGCTTCAAAGGCCCTTCCCTCCCTCACTCTGTTTGCTTCCTACAGCTCAGCCTGCCCCATGTTCCCAGAGCCTCTTGGCAGCCAGCACTCGGGCAGAATAAGGTAGTGAGCTGCGTGGGTGGCGGTTAGACAGCAGAGTGTTGCAGCCGCCTTAATGAGGGACAATAGCTCTTCTTGGAGCCATTGAGCGGCAGCTACAAAGGTGGGGAACCCCAATTAGAAGGGAGTGGGAGACATTGGGTAGAAGGCCTGGGGGATGCCTGTAGGACAGATTCTTCTCCTTGGGGACTCTGTGAGACCCAAGGGTGGACACGTGGCTGCCTGGGGTTCAGAATCTCTTTCTTTAAGACTATAGAGCCAGTCATGGTAGGAACTCTTCAAAATACACACCTTGGAAGGAGGAAAAATTACTGGGAGAAGGTTTCTCCCTGTCTCTGCAGTTCAGACATTATAATCCAAGAGCAAGAAAGAAAATGATAAGATATTTACTTAATATAAATGGGCCTCCCCCTTTCAGCTTTGGTATATGCATGTACCTGAGGTATTTGTACACAGCAATTGCTCCTGAGTTTTGTTAGCGCAATTGAATCACATTATGTTTACAGGAAGATAATAGTTCTGGATTTTCCATGGCTCACTCTGTCAAAATATAAGATTAGCTCTTGAATTCATTAACAGCCATCTCCTTTTAAATGTCAAATAACTTTGTAAATGCCAAGTACTTGTGCAATGCCTTCTGTGCGATTCGAATCAGCTTTACCAAATTAACTTGTTAATCTTTATTGTTTCATTCACTGAGAGAAAGACTCCCAGGTGTTTTCAGCAGAACATAGAAATATGCAAGTATTTACAGTGCATTACAGGTTACGGGATGGGTTTTGATTTTCTGCTAAGGATTTCACCTTCCCATAGTTTTTAAATGATTCCCACCAAAGTGTGTGCACAGAAGAAACAAAAAGAGCTTCAGGGGTCTCTGCTCTCCTCCAGTCCATTTTCCTGCCCTTTCGCTTGGCCTTGTGTTTTCCTCTACTTCCTACACTTCTAGTGACCTTGCCCCACCCCCCATTACTCTTTATTCTGCTGCCTTTACACTCAGCACACCTGAGAGCTGCGAGTGTCCTCGAACTGAGAACATAGAGCAGGGCTCACAGGTCAGAGATGGAGCCCAGAAGGCTGCAGCAGAGCAGGCCTAAGAACCAGGAACTCCCCAGCCTGAGTTCAACCTCCAGATAATCAGGCCACACTGCCTGCTAAAGTAGATCCAACCAGGCTCGTGGCCGTCATTCATCTCTGGGCTACAATGCCACCACCTTCTCCCAGAAGTCTTCCCTGACCAACTTCAAGGCAGGTCACCAGCCCTATCATCACCCTCCACCCTATCACCATTGCGTTGTCTGCAGAGCTGAGTCACCATCTAAACTCATTTGCTTAGTCATGCACTCATTTGTGTAGTGCATGCTAGGCACTTGGTAAATACAAGTTAATGAATAAATGCAAAACCACCCAGGCACATGATTTGCTTTTCCTGGCTTCAACTTCTTTCCCCCTCCTATCACTGTCTCTCAGAATCTTGTTTATATGTTTAATCCTTTCTTTTCTCCCATCTCCCAAGCTCCCTTTTACTATCATTTATTTGCTAGAACACTTGCACATAATAAGCAAAAACAGCACAGTGTGCTCCCATGACTATAGAGCCTTCGCTGAAAACAGGCCAGAGTTGATGGCCCCTAACATTAGGAAGAGGAGCTGCACAGTCAAGAGAGATGTTAGAGAGAGAGATTTATAGGTCAAGTGGCTAGGAGGAACTTTCCTCAAAACCCCTCAAGTCCCATCTCTTCAATCTGAACCCCACCAAAGCAGTTAAAGCAGTTTCAGCCTTTGGAACTGGTCTTGGCCATGCCTTTTGTCCTATAACCTAACACAAATTCTTCTTTGAGGATAATGGAGACATTTCCCTCAAACCAGCATTATCTGATTTCTGTCATTCCAACCACTGATCCATGCAAAACTGTGGAGCCTAGAGAGCTTGAAATGCTTCATCTGGTTTGAGCTTGAAACAAATGCTTTCATTTGATCAAGGAAAGGGGAGGGGATGCTTCACCCTGAGAAGCTAATTAGATATATAGCTGGGATGACAAGAAATTGGATACGGCCCGGGGGTTTAGCTCAGTGGTTTCGCTGCCTGCAGCACAAGCACAAGGACCCAAGTTCGATCCCTGGTACCAAAAAATAAGGAAATTGGATATGTATTTGTCAAAAAAAAAAAATCTTTATCTCCAGCCACATTTTCAAACAAAGGAAAAGGGTGTGGGTGTTCTTTGGAATGATGGCCACTCATGAGGACAGAGCAATGGTTAATTCCTTGTGAACGCTTACAAGAAATACAAATGATATGGGAGGGAGAGTTTATGAATGCCCAGAGAGACAGACATCGGAGAGTTAGTCTCCTAGAAAATATGGGAATGATCAAATCCACACCCAGTGTGATCTCATGGCACACAATGTATGTGACCCCAGAAAACTAGTCCAAAAAAGGAACAAATCACTTTTCTCTTTGAGCATGAGGGGCCAGTGCTACACCGAGGTCAGGCCTCTGGGAGTCTGCACATTTCCTTCGAGGTGTGCTCCTTGGCCCTTGCCGTGGGAGCTGCAGCTCACTTCCAGAATCCTTCACACTGTCAACTGTGTATTCATTTCCAAACCCTGAACAGACACTGTGGTGACAACAGGAACAAGACAGCTGTGACTCCTGCACTTGGGGAGCTCACGGTCGTCTGGCGGGGAGGGGACGGCACACCCTTTGCAGTCAATGTGGGCGCCATAGGAAGGGCTCCATGTTCCGGGAGGTCACCCAGACTCCTTCTGTAGCCAATTCTTCCTTTTCTCTCTGCCACATTTGGTCTCATCACTCTTCCTAACACATCAAATACACTTTCAGCTTGGAAATAAACTGGAATTTTGCAATAACCTCATTTGCTGCAAGGCAGATTGGGCAACCATTCATGGATCCATAGAAATATTAAAAATCTCATTTTACAGTGATGTCAGCTCTGCCATATGCCAGTTGAATGGCTTTGGGAAAGTCATTTACACTACCAGAGCCTCCAGGTCTCCTCACCTGTGACAGGGGGATGACATCCCTACCTCACAGGGCTGTCATGAGGATTAAATGAAATAATTGCAACTCTGGGAAGGTCTCTTTTTCCACTTCTCTGGGTACTAATTATTAACCAGGCTTGGGTTATTCGCCACATATATGGGCCCCCTGTGCTTCCAACAGGAAAAATAGGTGTTACTATTAGTGTTGCAACGATGAAAAAATGCTTTTTATAAATATTGAGAATTTGAACTAGCTCTTGTTGCACTGCACAGCATTCCTGTGAAAGCTAGGCTTTCTGCTTCTCTCCCAGGGATCCCTGCAGCCCTTGGAGACAGCAGCTCAGAAGACAGGAGAGCCTCAAAGTTGTATAAATAAAGAGCTGATGTGTTCAAACAGAAATGAATTTTCCACGAGCAAGCTGCACATCGACATGACGCCGTTCCTGAAGGTGATCTCACACTGAGCAGACGAGGGGCTTTAGAGATACAGACACAGAAATTCCAGTTAATACACTTCTGCTCAGTACAAAAACAGCTTCAGAAGTCCCCAGTGCCCCTGGTTTATCAGAGGGGACAGAAAATAGGCAGTTTGTAGCAGATGAAGAAAGAACAAATTAGGACAGTAATCACAGCCAGCCATGGGGACAAATCAGTTGGGTGTCTGGTTTGGGTGGTGAGGACCAGGGAACAGAGAAGAAAAGGGGGTAACTTTGAACCACCTCATAAAACCAGCAAACAGAATTCATTTTATCTCACTGGTATCTAACATAACCACTGTTTTACCACTGTAACTTGGTAGAGTTGATGGTCCTGCTTGGAGAAGACTGTTCTTGAGTTAACTATTTAGAAGTCAACAGCAGATTCTGTTCTGGATATCTGGCTTTGTTTTCTGTTCTCTAAGAACTCTTTGATCTCCCAAGTGCAACTTCCTTTCTGGCTAAAGGTACCGAGGAGAGGATGCCTTTAGTCTACCTGTGCTGTCCACCCTCCCACCCCAGCATCTAAACAGCAACCCTGGCATACAGGAGGTCACACCCAATGCTCCTTGAACTGCCTGCCTTTCATCCCACAGCCTTTTGGTTTAGGGCCCTTTCCTGCCCCATCTCTCGACCCCCTCAGAGCTCATTAAACTGGAAATAAATGACAAGGGAGTGAAAGAAACTGACCAGGAATAGAGCCAGGCCTGACATGGAAGGACCTCAGCTCCTCCTCACTACCATAGAGCACACCACCCCTGATAAGAAGGGGCTCAGAAAGATGGACACTGGGGAAGAAGAGGACAAAGAACTTGCAGAGCTCCTGATGAGGCCACTATCTACTATTGTGGGTACTGATGGTGACTCTGGAGCCCGTGAGAGTCACCCTCCTAATCTCAGCTAATCCAGAGGCCCCAGTTACACGTTCTCTAGACTGTCTGGAGCCCAGTTTTGCAAGGTGGGGCTTTAAGAGGCATGCATTTAACCAGCATGGTGGCATGCACCTATGAGTCCAGCACTCTGGGAAGCTGAGACTGGAGGATCACAAGTTCAAGGCTAAGCTGGGCAACTTGGTGAGACCTGTCTCAAAATTTTTTTTTAAATTTAAAGGAGGGTATCTGGTGTTGTAGCTCAGTGATAGAGCACCCCTAGGTTCAATTCTCAGTACTGCAAACAAAAAGTCATGTGTTGGCCTGAAATCTGTTTCCATGACCAGATCCTGTTTTCCTGGGCTTCCTGCTGGATGGGCTCTGCCTAGTGGTGCCAAAATGTGCACTGACTTCTCTTTCCTGGATCATCCCAGACTAAATGTGAACTGACTTGGGTCACTTGTCCAGCTGAAATGCCATCGGCCTAACCTGAGAATGGAGACTGAGAATGATGAGAGGAGGGATATCTTACAGGGAGAATGATTCTGGGCAGCAACACAGAAGCTGTTTGCTACTTCAAGAATTCAAAAAATATTGTCATACTGTTACTTATAATAATGAAAATATCTTTATTATTTTTTTCAGTACTACCTTTCACACTGAGGTATACCCCAAGCCCTTTTTTTTTATTTTGAGACACAGTCTCACTGAGTTGTCCAGATTGGGCTCAAACTTGAAATCCTCATGCCTCAGCCTCCAGAGTGCTAGGGTTACAAACCTATACTACCATTCCTAGCTTTTTTTATTCTTAATAACAGTTTAATTCTTCCTTTAGGGCTTAAAGAATTATGGTTGAGACTTCCTGGGATGTGACACCATCATCATCATTACTTATTTTATTTGAGCATCTGCTACCTACTGTGTGTCTGGCACTTTCCAAGCATCTGGGATAGAGTCATGAACAAAACAGACCAAAGTGGGCGAGGATGTAGCTTGGCAACAGAGAGCACTGGCCTGGCATGTACTAGACCCTGGGTTTGATCCCCAGCACCAAAAACAAAACCAAATTCACAGAGCAAGATCCCTGCCCTTCTCCAAGATAGTACAGACTATAGACACTAAACATAAAAAACAGGCAAAATGCATAGTATGTTAAAATTTGATCACTGGAAAGGAAATGAGACAAGACTATTGATGTATGTAGTATGCAGGGACTGCAGAATTCAGAAAGGGGAATTCTATGATAATTTGTTGTATATATATAATGCTCACAATGCTTTTGTGTTACACTTCTATATTCAGCAACTTTAGCACAGCATTAGAGAAGGAAAGGCATACCGGGGATTTAGCTCAGAGGTTGTGGCACCTGCCTCGCATGCTCAAGGTCCCGAGTTCGATCCCCAGTATCAAAAAAAAAAGAGAGAGAAGGAAAGGCACTGTCATCCCTAAGTCCTACTTTCCAGTCCGCCCCCCTCAAGGCCCACACATTGGTGACAGCCTGATTCTTGGGACGCCCAGAGCTCACTCTGATTCCCAGGCCAGGCCTTGCTGAATGACCCCACCTTCTTTCCCATTTTCAGAGTGAACAGCTCTCTCACACAGGCCTGCTCCCTGCTGACCAGGGGCCTCCTGGGTTCTTAGGGGCTGCCCTGTAGAGAGCCAGTATCAGGGTTATACAGACAAGTGCGGTGAGTTCCAGCAGAGGAAAGCACACAGCCTGTCCTCCTGTCTGGAGTGGTGTGGAAACCAGCTCATTCTATGCGCTTCCACTCATGGATCTCCTGCCTGTCCATGGGGCATTTCATCTATTTTTGCCTGGTGAACATAGGAAGCACATTGCACATTGCAGAGAATGAAGGTAGGAAGGAAGAAAGATGGAGACCCCCAAGGAAATGGAAAGAAATGCAATCATCACAATTGCTTATACTTCTGAGCATTTATTAGGTCTTAGGCTCATACACATGAACTCATTTAATTCACAAACTGAATCTAAGAAGCAGGTACATTATCCCGTTTACAAATGAGAAGACCAAAGCACTGAAAGGTGAAGTAACTTGCAGCATGTCATGCAGTTGGCAAATGGCAGACAGATTCCCAGGCAGGTGCCCAGCTCCAGAGTCATTGATCTCAGCATCTGCTATAAAGCTTCGCCGCAGATCCCAACTGAGCCCTGTCCAGCCAAAAGCACTACCTGTCACTACGACCAAGCACCCACCACTCCCCTAGATTGCTGCATCCATGCATGCATCCAGTCTGTGGCAGGAAGATTTTCCAAGCTTACAGGGCTCTGCTGCTCTCTCTGCTCCCACCTGAGTGCTGTGGCCCTAATATGAAGCTTTCTCCCCTGGGGATTACTTGGTTCCCTTTGGCCAACTTATATTGAGCCTACTATGTATATGTGACACTGTGCTGGGCACTGAGGCTGTGGAGACAAATCCTCTCCACCCTTGACCTTCCAAGGAGCCTGCAGTCTAAAATAGAGATAAACAATGGAACAGATACTAACATTGCAGAGGCAGTTTCTGGGTGCCATGGGAGAGATGTGTTTATTTCTCACTTATCAGATGTGGAATCCTCCTTATCGTCAAAAACCTCTTTACAACACCAGTGACAACATTATTAGCCCATTTTTGTCTAAATTGTCTTATCAGGCTTAGATTTGGGGAAATATGATTGGTTCAGAAAACATCTGTGTTCCTATAAAAATTGAAACATGGTTTTAAAAATTCTATTCTGCTTTTCAAGAAGAAATGGTAATTAATTGATGAATGTATTAGGATATCGTTTTTTTCCCAAAAAAATGCTTTAAATTGTCAAGGTTAGGTTATGGGACTAGGAAAGAAAATAACAATAATGTCTAGTAATGCTACATACAAAATTGAGTATATTATGCCCTAAGTTGACATGAAAGCGATGTATGCCATGCCTAGAAGATTTGAATAAGATGTCAGCATCTGCCTCATAGCCACGGCAGATACAGGTAGCACATGGTGCCCTCCAACAAAAGGTAGAGGTATTTACCTGAGCTAGAGCCCAGAGCCGGCCATGCCCAGGGTGAGAGCAGCCCCCACCCATGGAGGCTAATTCCAGGTCTACTCATGTGGGCAGGTGCAGTACATCACACTGAGGGTGACTGCCACTGCCACTGAATCCTGTGGTCACATCAGGAAGGACTAGCATGAATTTCAGTGAATGAAAGGAATAGGGAAATAATGTTTGGTTTAAAATACTGCCCAAGGTGGAGCAGGCTGCCTTAGGAGATAAATTCTGGCCCCCAGAGTCATTCACAAATGCTTTGTTACGCACTTGGCAGGAAAGGTTCAGAGAATCACAAGCTAGTTTCAGGACTCAAGATTCCACAACACTTGGGTAATATTGCCAGGTAAAATAGTCAGAACAATGAGTCTTACATTTCAAAAAAAAAAAAGGAAGAAGAAACATGGGGGAGAAGAAGAGGAGAAGGAGAAAGAAACCCAGGGTTAAGTGGAATATGATCAACATTAAGGTGTCAGGCCAGCACAGTGGCTGGGAAGCCCCAGGACCTTCCTGATGCTGAATAGCTTTGGAATGCTTGAGGTCCATTTCCTCTTTGTAAAATGGAGATAATAATTCTGGGAACTCCACATCTGCCTCTTAATGGTGAGGTGAGAATTCCATGAAATAATAGTTTTCAAAGAATGTGCACATTTGTAAAGGACTCAACTCATAAGGCAAGGTTCAGTGTTCACGTTTATGAGAGCCTGTTACCTTCCTCCCTTCCCAGCCAGACCTACAAGTCCACATTGCCACCACTGCTTTTCCTAAATTCAGCTCAGGGGCTGGGTCCTGAGTTCAATCCCTGTTACTAGGGGGGAAAACAACAACAAAAACTCAGTACACTTCAGTCCTCGCACTGGCTTGGTTGAAATTCCTTCCATGTCAAAAAAATAAATAAATAAATAAATAATAAAAATAAAAAATAAAAAGAAATTCCTTCCATGTCCCCACTGGCCTTCCAGTTAAATCCCTGCCATCAAAGGTATGTTTCTTTTACAAACAGAAAAATACAACAAATGCAAGTTTTCTAAAACTCCAAACTGCAACATGCAGGTCCAGCCTGTGTCTGATTTACACCATGCCCCGCTGTAGCCACACAAGACTCTCCTCACCAGCATGCACCTCTGCCTCCACATGGAATGGTCCTAACTTCTCTTCCCTGCAACACTCAGCTCCAGGTCCACTGCAAACCAACCTTCCCAGCCTAATTTAGCTTTGCTTCCAGGAGGCCCTGCAGAAACCTTTATTCTCTGTCACAGTATTTACCACATTGCTTTGCACCTGTAAGGCTCCTTACTGTTTCCTCACAAGTGAGTGAGCTCCCTATGGAGAGATCTGTAATCTTTCATCCCCAGTGCCTAGCATGGCACCTGGTACAAGCAGACACTCAATAAACATTCTTTAGCTAAATGAACAGGAAGAACAGATGACTTTCCCAGAGTAGCAGAACTGGAATTTGAATTTGCAGCCTCTGAATTTGTTTTGCTCATTCACCAACTATTACTGGATGAGCATTTATAGACTGAAAACCTGAAATCTGAAATCCATCAAAATCTGAAACTTTCTGAGCACCAAGATTCCACAGTGGGAAATCCCACTCCAACCTCATGTGATACATCATAATCAAAGTGCACTAAAATATTATATAAGATTATCTTCAGGCTATGTGTTTCAGGTCTATCTAAAACATATTTTGCATTTAGACTTGAGTCCCATCCCCAAGATCCCTTTATGTATATGAAAATATTCTAAAAATTTTTTAAAAACCTAAAATCCAAAACACTTCTGGTCCCCAGCATTTCAGATAGGAAACTCTGTATTACCTATGATCCAATCACTCAGTTTAGCAATTGCATTTGTAACTTTTTAAAAGACCAGGTAGCATTTTATTTGGATTTAGTTTTTAATTCAAATTTTGAATTTGAAGTATGCTTAGAAGGTTTTTGAAAAATATAAGTATAAGATGGTGCATCTCCCACCTGCTGAGCTCTCTTTCCTTAGCTACTAGTACTAATTTCCTATGTGCTGTAGATGTATAATGCATCCATAAGCAAATACAGACATATAAATAGAGGATGGAAATTGTGTGCAACTCTAGCATATTGTATGCATTCTTCAGTCTTTTTTATATAGTATTTCTTGGAACTCTATATAAATTAGTGAAGCCGGGGATTTAGCTCAGTGGTTACCCTGCCTGTCTCTATATTAATTAGTGAAGACATACCTTGCTCTTGCTAATGGTTACATGGTATTCCATTATATGGGTCACCACCATTGATCTGACTGGTTTCCAGTTCATGGAACATTCAGTTTCCTTATAATTTGCTGCAATGAATGAATGACCTTGGGTATCTTATTTCACATATGTGTTTCTATATCTTTAAAACAATAGAGATTTAGCTCAGTGGTTCCGCCACCTGCCTCGCAAGTGGAAGGACCCGAGTTCGATCCCTGATACAAAAAAAAAAAAGTAGCTCTTTTTATAAATTTTTAAACAACATACAACTGAATGGAAAGAAATTCAAATTAAGACCTTCTTTTCCTATCCAGGATTGACTAGAAGAGTCTTTCCAAATTCCCATCTTTCTCTGCCTCCATCTCCCCATCTGTGAATGAGAATACTCCTTACCCCCCAGGACTCACAGCTGCATGTTGTTGAGATGAAGTTTTATCCTCCTTGACTTTGAAATTCTTCCCAAGAGGAAGAATGTTTCTCGATTTCAATTCCATTTTCAGTTAGATTAAAAGCCAGAGACTAAAAGACGGAGATCTTCAAAAAATTTGTATCTCTTCTCTAGTCTTCTAACTTAGTTTACTATGACTAAGGCAGAATTTTCCTGTGATACCTTTAAAAAGCTTTCATTTATTTAGGGATGGATTTTATTTACTGTACCAGGCCAAATCTGCCTTGTCTCCAAAATGAGAAACCCAAAACAAAGAAAATTATTTACCTACTTTAGCTTTTTCATGTTAATGTATCTCATCACGCTAACAAGTGAGAAACACATAGGGTAAAAAGCCAGCAAGTGAGGAAACTCAGTGAGAAATTTAAAAAGAAGACCAAATTAGCAGATGAGTAATTGTCTCTTCCCAAAGCAGGTTGGTATTTGATAAGAGAGTGGAAAATTGATTGTCACTAAAAGGTGTGAGTAAACGAAGAGACTTCCGGGGTTTGCATAGCACAGTCCAGCTCTGTCACTGAAATGAAGCTGTGGCTGGGACAGGATTCCAACTGGCAAAGGCCTGTAGCCACCTCATCAGACACATGGGTCTTACAGGCTTTACTTGGGTCACCAACTCCACCTGCCACGTTCCTCTGGCTACTAAAGAGCTTCCTTTCTGACCACTGGAGCAGACCTGTGATTCCCACTCCCAGCTGCATGCTGGAATCACTCTAGGAGTCTAAACACTCCACAGCACAGAGAGGCTGATTGTATTGTTTGGGATTAAGTCCTAGGAATTATATTTTTAAGAATTCTTTAGGGGCCAGGGATTTAGCTGCGTGGTTCTGCCGCCTGCCCAGCAAGCACAAGGACCCGAGTTCCATCCCTAGTACCAAAAAAAAAAAGAATTCTTTAAACAACTCTAATGTGCAGCCAGGGTTGAGAACCACTGTTACAGAGATGTGCAGTTGGTGAGATTGCAGATACTGCGTGTGACTCAAGGAAGAAGGAAGAGAGGATCAAATGTAATAAGAAACCCAATCTGTAGTAATCCTGAGAACTTCTCAAAAGGCCAGGCTGACCCTGTGACTCCCATGCTTCACATGCTCAGTGATTTCCATTTATCCTCAAGATAAAGGACAAGATCCTTTGCCTGCCTTCAGGCTTTGGAGGTCTGACTGCTTCCCACCCTGCTTCTTTCTCTGCTCTGGTCACACTTGTCTTGTGCCAAGTCCCTCAATGTGCCTTGCCTCCTTCTTCCAGTGGCCTTGGCCTATGACATTCATCCCCCCTTCCTGTAACAAACTCCTACATAGGCTCACACTGTACACTACTCAGATGAACAGGACCAGACCCCATCCAGATAAGCATGACTGGCCTCACTGTGCTCAGCACCCCTGCTAAGGCTGCCTGGCTCTTTCAGGCTACCACACTGGTAGCAGCTCCCCTGGACATTAAGGTAAGAGAATTGACAAGGTGAAGAAAGAAGCTGGACGTGTATATCAGGGATAGGGCACTTGCCTAGCATGCTAGAGCCCTGGGTTCTATCCCCAGCACTGCAGAAAAAAAAAAAAACTTAAAAAGCTGGATTGCCTTTTACCAAAGGGCATGGACCACAGAGGTGTTTGGATTTCTTTTTGTCTTATGTACTCTTTGTGGTTAACCCAACAGGAAAGTGGAGAGGAACTGGACTCTCAGGAAGAGCCAGAAGAAACTTCTGGAGAAAATGATGAAGACAGTAGCCAAGGTAGAGACCTCAGGCCTGGGTTCCCTAATCTTGTCACTATAATTGTTGGATGGACTTGGAGCTGTTACAAGATGTCCACAGGGAAGGCGAGCATGATGGTGCATGCCTGTAATCCCAGCACTCAGGTGGCCGAGGCAGGAGGATGACCTTGAGGCCAGCCTGGGCTACACAGTGAGTTCAAGGCCAGCCTGGACTACATAACGAGACTCTGTCCCGAACGCCCCCCCCACACACACACACACACTCACACACTCACACACACACAAAGATGTCCAAGGGGAACAGCCCTTCCATTTCTCCTCAGGGTTTGGTTTGGAAGTCAGAGCACAGACCCAGCAGGGTTGAGTTCAGACCCTGCATCCTTAGTACCTCCCAAGCAAATGATGATAACGTGCTTTATGCCCTTGGGTTATAGAAAGAAAGGTTTCTTTTCTGACAGAGACTGCAGTTTGATGTGAGTCGGGGGAGACTTTGGGGGTATTATGAAAGGCTCCCCAGGTGCTTTCACCTCTCTGTTCCACCTGTTTTCATAGTGGGCTTGAACATTCAGGCGAGGGGCTATTGTTCCCTGCCTGAAGGGATGATATTCTGACAGAGCAGGGCCCATCATACTTACAGACCCAGACCCTGTCACCCACAGCCTTGCATAGCAAAAGCTTCTTGATGGTGGCTTGCTCCAAAGTTGACTGTGTGCTTGATGATGGTGGTGGTTGTGATGGCGGTTTTATGAAATATTAGTTCCAGAACCACTGGACTTTGGGGCAGAGGACTAGGCTGTACACTCCTTCCTGGGGGCACCTGGGATGTTGCACGATGCTGTAATTGGCTAGGCCCAGACAGCAGAGCTGCCTCTTTGTTTCATTGCTTCTGGCAGAATGTGCTCATTCTCGCTATACAAAGGTGTCCAACAGAGGGAGCACGTGGGGCAGGAACCCAGCCTCGATCTGCTGCCTGTGCCCTGTACTGCATGCTGGGCTGCTTCAGCCCAGGTGGGGCTCCTTAGCCTACTTGATCCTTTTTCTAACTCACATAAAGGTGTCTGTCCAGGCTCACAGGTGCAGGTCTAAACTGCTGGGTTGAGAACATTGGGCTATGGAGTTAGTCTCCACCTTAATCCTCCAGGCTTCTGAGTCTTCCTCTACCCTCTGAGGCTACGCAACACTCCCCTCATTAGATTTCTGGGGGGGAACAAATGAAATGATCCATGCAAATCAGTCCTTTAGTGAAGATGAACCTTAACATCAATATCACAATGGATAAATATACACCCTCTCATGGTCACTGTTTACCAACCTGTGAAATGACACCTTGACTCTTCCTGTCTTCTCCCGAGCCCTCTGGGGTGAAGGAGACCATAAAAGAACAATGGAAAATGTGCAAACTCACCGATTTTGGAGGATTAAAAATGGTGGAGTAAAGACTGGCAACAGAATACAGCCTCTCTGAGACCTGGAATCAAGATACCTGGAAAACAACAACAACTTGATGAAGTGAAAGGAGAAGGAGAAGAGGGGGGAGAGGGAGGAGAGGAAGAAGAGGATCTCATCTCTGGGAATCAAGAGGAAGCTGATAGGAAAATTAGAAACTACAGAGAAACAAAAGAAATGGAGCACAATGCAGAGAAAAGAAGAAAGCAGTCTGGAAAGTTGACCCTGGCTCCCAGGGAGGGAGGAGGTGAGCCCTAAGAGGCTCAGCAGCTCCAAGGAGAAACAATGTTCTGGGCCAGCAGCACTACCCCAAGGTAATCCCAGTTACTGTAAACTGCAAAAAGAATGTGGGGTTTCACTCTGAAAGTGATTCCTTCCACATGCCAGCTTGAGTTGAAGAAGAAACTGAGGGCAGGGTCCACAAAATTTTTTTTAAATTTTAAAATGTAGTTTTATTAATGCATTTTACAGTAAGTGCCATTCTTATTCCACCTTCTTTAAGAAATACTGCTAATTATAAATAATTACAGCAAACTTTTCATTACACAACTGTGTGCGGAGGAGTGGTTTCATTTATATCATACTGCAAATAAATTTATGAACAATACTGAGCAACAGTATTTCTTTCTAAAATTTTGAGGCAGATCTGTTTAGCACTGTGTGTAACTAATGTGGTTCACTGCAGTTTTAGCAAATATAACTGTTTTAGTTTCTCAGTGACAATAATACACATGGTGGAGAACAGGTGACAAAATCTCTTTTCTCGTTCTTCTACCTGCCACCACTTTAAAAAACACAAGTTGTCATATAGATTTATATATTACTGTATCAAAAAACATGTAACAGCTTATTTAAAGCTTCAGTTTGCAGTCATTCATTTGAAAGATTTCTATATGTCACTGGGATTTCAAGGTTCTGTGTCCGAAATCCAGAAGTCTTTCTTCAGTGCAGTGTCAGACTTTTTACCTTGGCCCCTTTGTGTTCCTTTCAAGGGTTTCCTAATTTTACTTTTGGATCTTCATTTTTGTTCACTTGACTTACTTCCTTTAGTACGTTCTCAGGTAAGGCAGGTTGATCGCTATACAAATAACCACGTGCACGAGGATGCTAAACGAGGTGTTCTAATGCACACGTGGTTGTAGAATCAACATAGTGAAAAGAAACTGCAAGGTCAGAACAGCAGCCAGGGCCCCGTCCGGGAGGATAATAGCAGTAATTCCAGTACCGAGAGGTCCTGGGCAGATAGCCTTTGATGAAGTGGTGTTCTGGTACAAAGGGGTGAAAAGTTTCTTTTCCTGTGGTATCTCTGGAATCTCCAGCTTCTACATTCATAACTTCCATGCATTTTCCCAGTGCTAGGTCTTCAGCGGAAGAACTACTCGTACATTTTTCTGTTTTAAATGCATCAATAAATCTCTTCAAGTCTTCTTTGCTTAGTACATATCCTGCTCCATTCATGTAACCCTGCTTTACATAGGGGTTAAATCTTCTCCCAATATAAATGGTTCTTCAGGGCTATATTTTGTTTTTTTGTTTTTTTGAGTTTTTTTCATACCGGGGATCAAACTCGGGTCCTCAAGCTTGAGAGGCCGGCGGCGGAACCACTGAGCTAAATCCTTGGCCCTAGGGCTATATTTTGAAAGAAGCCATCTCAAATTGTCTAGTATGACATATGTATTGTCATCTGCTTTCATAAACCAATCCACATCTTCTCAATAATGGTCATGAACATACGGAAAAGCTTTAATTGTTTTCCAGTATAGTTGATCTCTACCTTCTTTGGTTTTCAAACAATAAAGGGAAGTCTTTATTTTCTTCTGAACTCATAAATAACACTTTATTACAATGCTGGGCCCATGTAGCTTTGACATGTTTGGCCTTTTTCTCTAGATTTTGAGGGCCCGTCATAACCCAACCAAGAATTTTTACTTTCTGGTACAGGCTTTCAGAGATGTCTGTGTTCTCATCTTTATGTCAGCTAGAATCTGCATTGAAGTTCATTTGTCCTTCTAGATGATTCTGTCCATTATCATGTGAATGTCTTGCATGAGGATCATTATGAAGAATATTAGGCTGGGTGTCACCTTGTTCTCCCAACAAAATACTAAATAGCTGAGAACATAAAAAAAAAATCCTGGGCTGGGGATTTAGCTCAGTGGTTCCGTCGCCTGCCTCGCAAGCACAAGGACCCGAGTTCGATCCCTGGTACCAAAAAAAAAAAAAAATCCTGTTGCTGATCCACAGAGGAAGGTTAAAAAAGTCAGCCAAGATTTAGAGGCCATTTCCCGAAAGTGTATTTCTTGAAGTCACTGTATAGCCCAGGCTGGCCTCAAATTCACAGTGCTCCTCCTGCCTCAGCCTCCTGAGTGCTGAGATTACAGCATGTGCCACCACCACGTCTGGTTCAGATGAACCACCAGCATGTATAGAAATCCCATTGCACTATGTCAGGGCCTAGGAGGGGAGAAGCCACATAGAACTCCTTTCCTCTTCCACGCACCAAGTGCCCCAACACACACCTGGCTCGTCCATCCAGCAACAGGGAAACTGACATCAGCTGCGCTCCCCCTCGCCCCTCCCGTGGGCAGAGAGGGGACGACGCAGGACCGGCGACCTTCACTCCTCTGGGCAGCCGCAGAAGTTGCTCGTGGCTGCTAGCCGGGACCGCTGCGGCCGCTCGGACCATACTCCGACAGTGGTGGCCGGCGGCCGAAGTCTACAGTATTTGAGAAGATATAATCAGGAGCCATTTTGGGAAGAGGTTAATTGTTTAAGACTTAGCTACAGGAAAACTACAGTTCAAGGTTTTTGAGGTCACCCTACCACAGTGACTGGGTGGATGGTGGCCACAAAAGACAGTCATGGAGAGGATACAGCTAGATATAGACCACTGAGAAGTTTAAACTCAGGCCTGGAAGGACACGAGTGTCCAGCCCACAGAGTAGAGAAGTCAAGCTGGTTGTGTGTGGCTCTCAGAGTGGGCTGGGGCTGAAAATGTTGGCATTAAATCCAGTGGACTGCTTGACCTCTCTTTCCCACTGCGACATCCAGCAGAGAGCTCAGTGGTCTTCTTGCTTTCACCATGTGCCAATGATCAGGGATGAGCCTCAGGTTGAATGGTTGCCACAGCCTGGGGTATGTGGACAGAGGGGCCTCTAGAGTAGGTTGGGCACTCAAAAACCCACAAGCTATAAAAAGAGTCTGAGAAAGCCATGTCCTAGGGCACACAGAGAGATGGTCTCAACTGGAATCAACTGGAGTGAACACAGCCCTAGAACAGAACATGTTACCACACCCAGTAGGAAAGATGGGGCAGGATTCAGCATTCACACACAAAAAATTTGAGTGTAGAACAAGATAGGTCTTAGTCACTCACTAACCTTCCCCCATATCAGGTGGATTCCAAACTGCAGACCCTGGAAAGAAACTACTCACTGAAAAAACACAGAGGACTTTTAAAAATATTTTTGCTTTATCTTCATTAGTTTTGGGGAGTTTGGAGAGGTGTTTTTTTTTGTCCTTTCTTTTGGTCTCTGTTTTTTTTCTTTTCCTTATTTGTTCTTTTCTGTTACT